ACACAGCTTGGACTCATGGTGATCCTCATGCTTTCAGCCTCCTCAGCGCTGGGATTACAGGCATGTGCCACTATGTCCATCACTCACCAGGACTCTGGCCAGCTCAGCCCACTGTGGGGGCCGGGCTGGCACAGCATGTGGTGCTGGGGATTGAACGGCCATCCTTGTGCTTGCCTAAGCTTGCCTAAGCAGCAGACTTTGGTCTGCTGAGCTATCTCTCCAGCCCTCCATTTCTAAATTATTCAAGCCCCAACACAATATGACTTATAAAACTCCACCCCTGCTTATTTTCCAACAACCACTATTGGAGATGATTTTCCTAGAAGTCTAAATATTAGAAGCCTGGGCCGGCCAAATAGCTCAGCGGATTAAAGTGCCTGCAAGCAGGCACAGGGACCAGGGGTTCGATCCCTGAGCCTGCCATCGTGGCCCTACCCCAAGGGTGCACTGAGGTGGCGATTGAGACTGGGCATGGTGGTGTGCACCATGGTGTGCACCATCTCAGCACTTGGGAGGCTGTAAACAGGAGAATCACTATGAATCTGATCTAGTAGTGAGACCCTGAACACCCTGTAGGCCCTTCCCTAAAAATACAGAAAAAATAAATATAAGAAGCCAAACAAAAGAAATATGCTAAAATATTTTTAAACATCACCCAATATTTTAATCATGACTGGCAAAATGTGTGTAGTAGAGGTGTACCCAGTTGGCAATCTAGAAGTAGAATAGACCAAGCAATACAACAAAGGTCACACTACAAGGAGCTAGCTCATCATATTCTCACAGATTTAAAATATTCTAAACTCCAAAGATGGTGTTTTATCAGACCAGAAGAATACAAGCCTTAAAGAATCTATTATATTTGTTTTTTCCTGGTCAAACTAATTTCTCCCATGTTGACTAGAAGTTCTTTTATAACTAATCAGCTCCCTAAGTTCTTTATTTTTTTAAGTGGTATTGAGGATGAACTCAGGCCTTCACAATGAGCTACCCCACCCAGCCTTTTCTTATTTTAAGACAGGATCCTTTTGGACAATTTCATTTTTGTGCATCTTGGTATGATTTTATTTAAATGTCTTTGCAAAAGTTTCATTTTTCTTGGAAATGTGGTATTACAAGTTGAACTAAATTCAGAAATTTTAAATCTTTAAAAAAATGCTTAAAACTATTGTTGAAGCAAGGTACTATTCCCCTATGATGAATGCTATCACTATGTATATATAAAATGTACCAATAAAAAAATTCAGGGAAAAAAAAAAAAGACAGGATCTTATGAAATCACTAAATTGCCAAGACTAGGTTACAATTTACAATCCTCCTGCCTCAGGCTCCCTTGGATTACAGGCATGTGCCACCACATCTATCAAGTAGCCTCTTCTTAAATAACACCTTCTCCATGAATATTTTCTGTTCTTGCCAAACACTAAATTCTTCTGCTGAAAACTCTCCAAGTTCCTAAATGTATAAATGTTACTACACTTACCTTATTCTACACCTGTCTAGTGATGAAACTAATATGTATACGAATACCCATAAACTTTGAATGTTCCAGAAAGAAATTCACAGATGTTCCAACAAAGATTGGAATTCAAAGTACTGTTTATAATAGAAAATATTAATGGTAAGAGAATAGTTAAAATCAATATTCACCAATATAATTTGATGAGAATGAAGACAATTTCTAAGCAATACGCTATTTTATAATATCACACATAGCTGAAAATGAAATAGGCCATTATAATTTGAAGTAATGCCTCATATAATATATTCTTATAATTCAAAGATGAAAAATCTATGCATGTTCAAAATATGAGCATAAAAATCACAATAAATGCTAACCTTTGGGCTGGTGAGCCAGCTCAGCGGAATAAAGCATCTGCTTAGGCAAGCTTAGGCAAGCTTCCATCCCGACATGCCCCAGCCCCACCCGCTGGGAAGGCTGAGCCACAGAGCCCGGGCATGGTAGCGCTCACCTATAACCCCAGCACTGGAGAGGCTGAAAACAGGAGGATCACTAAGAGTCCAATTGCACATTGAGACCCTGTAACAACCAAATACATTTAAAAATAATAATAATGCTAACCTTATCACAAATGAAACCAATTCAACCTGAAAGTTGTGGAAATCAAACCTCACTGCCTACTGGGACTCCTTTAACTAGAACAGAATTAAAAGTTGTCAAATAAAGGGAGAACATGGATGGATTTTAAAATAGAAAATATTTACTAGTAATTCTCATCCTCTTTCAGAAATAAGATTGTCAAGACAAGAACTGGGAAGAAAAAGGAACCATCTAACACATCCCTTTCACATCCCAGAAAGACATAACTGCAAGTCTGCTCATTTCTTTGATATGCGACATTAGAAAAGTAAGCATTCCAAGTTGATATGAGGGAGCAATGAAGTGATAAACAAAAAATAAAACATTATAACTACACTTTTAAAACAAGAACAAATCATTGACTTGGGCCAAGTTTTTTTTTTTTTTTTTTTCTCGGTATGGGGGACGGAACTTGGGACCTTGCGCTTGTGAGGCAGGCACTTATGCCGCTGTGTTATCTCCCTGGCACCAAGTTCTGTTTTTTTGTTTTGTTTTGTTTCTCCATTTATGTATTTGGCACAGGGTGTCACTACACAGCTCAAACTGGTAGTGATCCTCCTGTGTTCTGCCCCCCCAATGCTGAGAATACATTCACCACCATGCCTGCCCGGACTAGTTTACTGGCTCAGTGTGTGTGTGTGGGGGGGGGACCGGACACTGGGACGACGACGACAGGGAATTAAACTCTGGTCCCTGCGCTTGCCAAAGCATGCGCTTAGTCTGCTGAGCTATCTCGCGGACTCTCCTGGCACCAAGTCCTTTTTCTATAAGTTAAGTTGTTTTCAGTAAAAATGGACACCAAACTCTGATGATTTTTACTAAAGAAGTTTCACTCTTGGGGATTCATTAGCATATAGCTATGGCCCTGTGAGATTTTTCTAATTCTGACTCTGATCATCTTTCCCTCTAAATTAACAAAAACAAACTTCTTTCCCCTGAAATACCTTTTACCTCTCTGCCCCACTCAAAATCCTCCTTAAAATTCCTTACCTCCTATAGACTAAAATTAAGACATTTCCACTTCCTGATATTCCAAGTATATGGATCCAACCTTTATTTAGACCCTCAGTTCTAGGATCTCCTTTTTGCTTCCAAGACACTCTATGTTGACCCGCATTTTCAGTCTGGCATTTCTGTTCCATTCCCCGTAGTATACAGTACTATGTCTGCCCATCCAAATCTTACAAAACAAACATCTACCAAATATTTACTGTGCTCAAAGCACAAATATACTGTCTCAAATCACATCATTTTTTTCATGCATTTTACTTCCATGTTAAGGAAGGTCTCTTTAATGACTCCTTCATTTAACAAGGAGTTGAAGACCAAAATGCACCCCAAAATGCACATGTACTCCATCCTTTTGTCATACTGCTGCAGCTGTGAGGTACATTAAATGAGTACCACAGACCACGACAAAAGTTGCAGAATTCATCATGCTGAGTAATAACTATATGCCAAAACCACTATTCTGGGTGATAGGCAAAGATCTTCTCATAGAATGCAATTTTTTGTGTGCACACACTAGGGAAAAAGAAACCAACACCAAACAGTGAATCACTTCACACTACAAGTGTTTTGATGAATAGAGATTTGATATTCTACCAAATGATCATGAGAACTGTTTTAAGAAATGTTAACAGGAAAGCCTCAGATTTAATTAATGTGAACTTAGCCATGTGATAAGACACTTTAAAAAAGCACTAAGAAATCAAAGGTCCCATATTTTATTTCAGGTTCAAAGACTTTCATGATGACATTTAAATATGACCTAAAAGACAACACTGCTTTACATGAAAAATAAAGCACAAATAGTGCCACTGTGGATTAATCAAAATGTTTTTACATGAAATATTTATTTATTTTTGTATTTTAGGGAAGGGTCTACAGGGTGTTCAGGGTCTCACTACTAGATGAGACTCGTAGGGATCCCCTTGTTTACAGCCTCCCAAGAGCTGGGATTACAGGCGATGAAATATTTACTAACAGCCAATTTTTTTGTTTTGTGTGTGGTTTGTTTGTTTGTAGGCTGGGACTCACTACATAGCGCAGGCTGGCTTATGTAGCACAGACTGGCCTCCAACCCTGGCGATCCTTCTGCCTCAGCTTCCTGAGTGCTGGGATTACAGGCATGCATCACCACACCTGGCTAAAGATCGGTTTCTCAAGACTCAAAAACATATTCTAGTCCAATGGCCTTCCTTTCCGTGAGTTTATAGCTCTTCCCACTTTTCTGAAGGACTATCAACAATTCAACACTTTCATGTCATACAAGGGCCGCTTCTACTTTCCAGACTAGAAAATAGTATGGGAGGACCAGCCAAATAGTTGAACGGATTGGGTTCAATCCCCAGGCCTACCGTATGGCCCCAGGGTACGGCCCCGCCCCTGGGGCGTGCTGAGACTGCAACTGAGACTGGGCATGGTGGTGCGCGCCTGTTGGGAGGCTGTCAACAGGCGGATCACTAAGATCCTGGTCTAGTAGTGAGACCCTGAACACCCTGGAGACCCTTTTCCTTAAAAATAAAAATAAAAAAATTTAAAAATCGTTTGGGAGCAGATATTCAAATAACTTACAGACTGATTACTACAGCAAGTTTCACACACACACACACACACACACACACAGCACGGCATTCTTTGCCTAGGAAATACTACAGCGCTCGTACCAGCACAGGACCCCCGTACAAGAGTGTTCTAGGAGTTCTAGTCCAGGCAGACTGAGAACAGTACAGAATTGAAACTTTGGGGCACGGTCAGTGACTTCCTCGGTCCTGCCAGAGACAATGAGAAGCTCCTTTAAACACAACTTCAAAGGATACACGGCCCAGCACGGTTTCAAGTTAGTTACACTACTTCTCCGAGCAGCAGAGCGGACGAGGAGGCTCGCCAACATTACCTTCACCAGCCACACGCCCGTGTTCTGCTTGGCGCCAGTCAGGTCGAGCTCCCCACGTTCGGCCATGGGTCTTGGGAGACTTGTGGGCCGGAGCAGTGGCCCGAGGTCAGGAGGGGTGCGAGGCAAGCTCCTCGAACAAAGTGTGAGTCTCGGGGAAAGGCGGACTTTAAGAAGTCGAGCCCGTCTCGCCGCCTAGGGGAACACGCCGCTGGGAGCCCGGAATTGCGCCTGCGCAAGGTTGTCCTCAGTACGGCGCGCTGTTTCGGACAAACTTCCTGTTTCCGCAATTCCTTAGGTAGGCGTGGCTACTAGCGTTGTACAAGTGAATAATTAAAACTAAGGGAAGCCAGCCCAGCTAAAAAGGCAGCAGTACATTTAACAGTAAGGTCTGTATTTTTGAAGAAAAAGAGTGGTAAAATGGAAAAATTGGGCCCAAAGATCCCAAAGCTCTCCGTACATGTCCCACCGTAGGCAAATGCCCCACCTTAGCCATAAAGGGAAAGACTTTTGAAGGACAGGTTGGGATACCCAAGCAACATTCTTAGCTAAACATCGTTAGGCAAGTGGGCACTGAGGTCGGATTAGTGGTCCTAAGTATATTGAAAGCATACTATTTCTAGATCAGAAAAGAAAGCTGTGGCTCAAACGGGACCTCCCAAATTGTTCGGATTACGCAAGCAGAGCACATCCCTTTCTGACTCAAATCCAGCTGCCATAGAATTAAATCAGTAACGTTGCGTCGAAAAGATTAACTTGATTATTTAATTCCCCTACTTAAACATTCCCCTTCTCCTTCTCTTCTTGCCTCTAATCTAAAATTCAACCAGACTCTCTCGATGTAATAAGCCCTTTGCATCCACCCTGCCCCACACCCAACCCATCTGCCAACACCCCCAGCACGGTAGGATCTGCCTGTCATTCAGAGCCTCTGCACACCTGATGCCCTTTTCTCAAATGTCCTATTTTTCCTTTTCCTTCACTCTTACTTCTGTCCTTTGATTGGTAAACTTGTACTTACGTTTCAAGATTAATGGAAATGTCACTCCAATGAGACGTTTTATGAACTCCCCCAGAGGAAGTTCAATTTCTTAATTTCGCAGTGTGTGATAGCACAGGGCACTCTACTATACATGTTTACATGTCTACTGTTATTTTCTAGACTCCTCCTAGACAGTAATAGTGCTTCCTCTCCAAACTTATTGAGGCATAATTGATGAATAAGAAATAGTGCTTTATTCATTTATATGTACAATGTCTGGCACAGTGTTTAACACATTGTCAGATTTCAGTCGGCTTTGGTTGAATGAACATTCACTGAAGAGAAACAACGGGAAGGTGGTGTAAGAATGGCAAGTAATTTATTGAGTCACACAGTAGAGCCAGGCACAAAATCAAAGAAATTCTATCTCTGCATAGTACAAGGCCAGGAAATGCTGTCAGGTTTCTAAAACCAGCGATTTTAAAACTAACAAGAAACATGAAAGAGACCAGGAATGTCTTGAAAAGGAGGACTGCGTTCTTGGGAAAGGGCCTAACATTTATAAAAGGCAAGCAGGGAGGGAAATTCTTTTAGGGTCCAATCAAGTAGAAGGAATAAATTAAAATGAGACCATGAGAAAAGGAAAGAGCTTGCTCTTGATCTGTGGGTCAGGAGTATGTGTCTGTCTTGGTATTTAAAGAGATTGGGAGAGTGCTTGCTTTGGCAGCACATATGCTAAAGAGATTGGGAGAGAACAAATGGCCAAATAAAAGGCTAGAGAAAAGAGAAAAAAAGGGAAGATATGAAAATTCTTTTTTTTAAAGTTTTCTCATTTTTGCATAATGTATTTGGAGTCTGATTTTAGATCTGTATGGAGTGAGGATTTTTCTTCTTGGAGAATTGACTCTTTTGTCATTATGTAATGTCTTCTTTAATCCCTGCTAATATTCCTTATCCTGAAGTATATATATAGGATCTACAGGGTGTTCAGGGTCTCCCTATTAGATTGGACTCATAGTGATCCGCCTGTTTAGAGGCTCCCAAGAGCTGGGATTACAGGCGCCGGCCACCACGCCGCCGTCTCAACTGCTGTCTCAGAGCGCCCCAGGGGTGGGGCTGGCACAGCAGGCCCAGGGATCAAACCCTTGGCCCCTGAGCCTGCTTGCAGGCACTTTAATCCGCTGAGCTATTTGGCCAGCCCTTGAAAATTGTTATATAGGAAAAAAGGGAAAAAATTATTCCACACACTTCTTCCTCATACACTGTTGAACAAAGAACAATCTTGCGGTTTACTTTCCCAACCCCCTTCTACCTTAAGAAGAAAGTTCACAGAGCTGTGAGAGAAAAAAGAGTACATGATCTCTGTGCATAAGATTCACAGCTTTACTCTAGAGACTCACAAGGTGAAAAATATTGCAGCAAGACCCTTCACCTTGCAAAGGGTGATGCCATGCCAGACACTTTGCTAGGTGTTTTACCCATGTTACCCTTTTAAATCCTTGTAACAATATGCTGAAATAATTGCTATTATTCCAAAATATAGTCCCATAATCATTAAAGAATCAGCTTCCAAGACCCTGTTCAAGTTTGGTGCCCAGCAGAGCATTGGATGTAAAGATGAGTGGGCCACAAAAGACAATTGAAAATTCTTTACTTCCCCATGTGATTGATTAGTCAACGTCATATCAAATGTTTTAAGACACAAATATGGTTCTGGGAGGCAAATCCCAAAACTCACTGCTGCCAGCAATTTTCCAAAAAGTCTAACAATGCTCAGACCGGGGCTGGAGAGATGGCTCAGTGGTCTAAAGCACCTACTTGAAACAAGCTTGGCAAAGCACAGGGACCGCGGTTCGATCCCCAGCACCACATGCCAGCCAGACCCGCCCCCTGGTGGGCTGAGCTGGCCACACACACACACAATAAATAAATGTAATAAATAAAAATAAATAAATATTAAAAAAAAAAAACAATGCTCAGACCAACCTGTGATCTGATCTTTACTAGGCTGCATTCTGGTTCAGATCTTTAGACAGCCTTACCCCGAGGCAGAAATATGCTCCCAGTTGTGGGCTTTCTGGACTAGCTGCAGAGGAGCAAACCCCAACCACCTCAACCACTAGGAAACATGCTTCATTCTAGACCAGTCTCTCAGGATCTTGTGCCTGGACAAGCTGTATTAGCTTTCCTGAAAGGGTGTTCCAAAAATGCAGACACCTGAGTTACAATCCTGGTGAACAAAATCACAATTTCCAGAGATGAGTCTAGAAACTGACATCTTAGCAAGTGCCCCTCCTCCTTGTATTACTTAGGTACAACAAAAATCTGAGAATCATTCTTTTAATCCTGCATCAATACAGTTCATTAGAAATGTACCAGTGTCCAAGGTTTATACCAGTGTCCAAGGTCTAGAGAAAGTTTACAAGAATTTTTTTCTTTTTGCCACTTGACTTACAGCTAGAATTTCCCCATGCCTTATAAATTCAGAACATGATAATTCTATTGGTACCACTAGAGTATAAACAACAAAGGTGCAAGTGAGCTGCAGGAATTAGGATGACATTAACGGTGGCTGAGCTCACTCCCAGATTGTGTCCATGACTGCACTCTTTGTGTCTTTCCAGGCTACAGCCCTTCTTTACTACCAAGAGAAACTATTACCTTCAGAGAAGTCCACAAAGGATGAAATAACAATAGCAATAATAATACCCACTGTAAAGACCTTGTTTTTAAAGAAATCTTTCATAAATAAGACTGCTTATTTATTGGTTGCTAATGTAAATACTATCATTCACAAATTACAAATGAATATGACAATGTGGTAGTTAATTCTATTTCCCCAATATCAATGACATCATAGATAGATAATTTTGCTTCCATATCACATCAAGCCCATAAAGCTCCTTCTCTGATCTCTCTCCCCCTCTACCTTCCCTCTCGCTCCCCCTCCCTCTCCCCTCTCCCTCTCTCTGTCTCTTTTTGTACCAGGGATTGAACACTCCGGACCTTGCACTTGTCAGGCAAGCACTTTTGCAGCTGAGCTATATCCCCGGCTCCCCTATCTTTCTCTTCAACCCTTGTATTTCTTTCTTTCTTTCTCAGAATGCTGACATTTCAGAAGTATTCCTTGTTTCTCCAATTATACACAAAAAGCCCAAAACACTCCCTAAAATAATTTCCATATTGTTTAGTGTAAAGAGCCTGAGCTTTGGAGTCATGTCTTCAAGTTACAACTCTATTACATACGAACCTAATTATGTTAGCCTCTCTGGACCTGTCTTCTTGCTTATAAAATAGCATCACTGGGGACAGGGACATAGCTCAGCAACATAAATGCCTGCCTGGCACATACAAGGTCCCGCTTTCGCTTTCTGGTACAAGAAAAAAATTAGGATCATTATGCCCTCTCCATAAAGTAATTATATAATTAAAAGAGAAAATACATCAAAAAATTTAACATTATGGATAGAAATCATTTGGTAATTACAGTAATTACATTGGATCAACTAAAGAAAGTACAGAAGTATTATTATAGCAATAGCTTACTGGTAAATGTTTAACAACTTTTTGATGAGGTTACCTTTCCTAAAACCCTATACAGACAGACAGACAGACAGACAGACAGACACACACACACACACACACACACACACACACACAAAGTGTTTGCCAATTTCTGTGATGTAAATATTTCTACTATATCTGATTTCAACCTACCAAGCAGACAACACCAAAAGCAAGATTAGAAGATAGACATTATACTTCATGTGATATATACATTGTGTATTCTTATATAGTATCCTAATATGTTATACTGAGTGTTTTCACCATATAAACAATTAGTTATAACTTCAAGAGCACAGATAATGGTAAAACAGAAAAATAGGGAGATATGAGTTTTTATAATCTTTGTGCTGATTATGTTGTCAGTGTCTGGTAAAAATAGTAACATCTCTGGAGGGTTAACAACCTAAGTTTGCAGGCCAAAATTAGAGAAAAAGGAGAGCCACAAGGAAAGCCAACATTTTGGACCTAGCCTTCCAAGGTCAATTAAGACTCAGGACATATGAGAACTTATACTGTAACATCATGTAACTCGGTAGTGTCCCAAATTTTCTGATCAGGGAGATTATGAGGCCAGAGAGGAAAGTGATTGATGATGTAGAGTGTGCCTAAGGAGAGTCACATGGAGAGAAAACATTCTCTCAGGCTTTCACAGAGAGCACAATGGCCAAGCATTGGCCGT